TATATATACTTTATAGGGTCGGAGATGTCTCCTTCACTGCGTTGCAAACTTCTGACTGAAATTATAATACCCTCTGCAAGGGTATAAAGATTATAATCTTAGAAATTATTACTACCGGTTGTCGTAAAATATGGAGAGGTTAAAGAAAATTGTTTAAAGAATACATTTATTCTTAATCAGTTAGCCTGTATGATTATGTTTCAAAGCCAGAATTGTAAAGTAAATCCTTTCAAAATGGACCTTAACAAAAAAATCTACATTGGAAGTTTTACATCAAAAAAGCTTTCCGATTTTTAGTTTTTTAACTAACAAAAGATTAAAGATTAAACTTTGTATTAATAACTTTTTGTGTGCTGCAAATATATAATTGTCATCGCCTAAATTTAGCATTTTTATTTTTTTTTGTTTCCACATTTTTGCACGATTTCTATTTCAAATTTTTTGTTTTGTTTTTTCCACCTCTGTTGTTTTTTTATTGGTTGGGTGTTTTGCTACTTTCACCTTGCATCTGCGTTTGGCAATCAAACGTTTGCGGCTTGCGACATTGTGACGGAAGATAAGACGGCCAGGCCTTAGAAATGTTTGCCAAATCTTGGATTGCGCAATAATATTGCAATCTTTCGTGATAAATGAAGCTATAATCAAAATAGAAAATTAAATTATGGTTTTATAAGGGCTCTTTAAGGTTTGTCTTACTACCAAAACGTCCACTTAATTTCACTATGTAACAATAGTTATTTAATTAGACATATGAATATTTATCTGAATGTTTTAAGGGTTGTCTTACAACCAAGACCTCCAATAATTTTAAATAAGTTTACCATTTAGATTTGTTTAAACTCAAACTATTTATCACTAAAGTCAGCATTTTTGTTTATGCATATCTTTACATTTGTCTTTATTGACGTTCCAACCAACCATATATTGGTTAATTTAAAAATAAAAATCAATTTTAGACACTGCGAATTGCAGGTATATAAAGTATTTGTATCGTTCCGAAAAAGCTAGTAATATAGGTTATTAATATATGATCAATATTAAATATTAGTTCAGTTATTGGTCTTGTATTTTTCCTGTGTAACAATAGTTATGTAATTATACATATGAATATTTATGTTCTCCCACGCAAGTTGTCATACTTTATAATTCTTTTGATGTCCCATTACAAAAGCCATAGTTTATTAATGTACCATTATTTTTATTGTTATTCAAATAAATGATTTGATTAAACTAAATACTAAAATTAACAATTCCACAATGCATATTGCGGGTATATAAGCAATATGAATCTTGCCGAAAAAGCATATATTTATGTTATTATCATAGGATCAATATTTAATATTAATTCAGTTTTCAGTGTAGTATTTTCACTTAGTAACGATATTTATTTGCGTCCGACTGGGTGTTATTGCCTCTGCCACGCTCCTAATACTTGATGCAGCCTCTCCTCGGGACGCGCTATCCTGTCCGGGGGGACCCTCAGCTCTCGATGGCCACGGTCTCCAGCTGGGCCTCGATGATGTCTGCATGCTGGCGCACCATGTGGTTGTTGAGGTTGCCCACACTCTGGTAGCACTTGTCGCAGTACTCGCAGGCGAATGGCTTTTCACCCGTGTGCACCAGCAGGTGCGAGTTCAAATGGCCACGGGTGAAGAAGGCCTTCGAGCAGGTGTCGCACTTGAAGGGTCGCTCCATGTTGGGGTTATGCGATCGCATGTGGGTGCGTAGATCGGACTTGGTGGGCCAACTTTTCGAGCAGCGCTGGCACTCGAAGATGCGCGGCTTGGCCTCGCCGGTATGGGTGCGCAGGTGGGACAGGAGCTGGGTGCGCAGGACGAAACGCCGTTCGCAGTGCTGACAGCCAAAGGGTCGCTCGGTGGAGTGCACCGACTTCACGTGGTACCGCAGGCTGTGCCGCGAGGCGAAGTTCTTGCCACAATCCTCGCACTGGTACCGCATCTCGCCCATTCCATGCACCGCAATCATGTGCAGCTTCAGCTGAAAGTTACGGGTGAACTTCTTCTCGCATTCGCCACACGGATGCAGGGATCGCGGTGTACCTGCTGCCTTCGGTTTCTGGCCTTCTGTCCGCGGCTTGGGCTTGGTCCTCCGCCTTTTGGGCTTTACCACAGGTTTCGTGGCTGGGGCTGGGGCTGGTTCCTCAGCGCATTCTAGGGGCGCCGGTAGCATTGGCTGAGCGATTTCAAAGGGTTCTGGGGTCTCCGGCCGGTGGAGCGGGGTGTTAAGGCTACCCGAATCCACAGACGATGCCCAGTAGGCAGGAGTCTCAAACTCACTGGCCGGGCTCTCCTGGAAGTCCAAGTTGTCTGTGATGATACAAAATCAAAAAAAATTATATTTCACCATGTAAGACAAATGTTGGGATATGAAATTAAATGAAAATTAAAGTCCAAGTTGTAAAAAAGGGGATACAAAATCAAAAAAAATTATATTTCAGCATGTATGAAAAATGTTGTTCTTTTCTTTTTTCGGCATATACAATACGAGCACTAAAAACCGAAAACAATTGGTAACTCAAGAACTTAAATAACTGATCATTTTGGAAAAGTAGCTAGTCAACATTTTTTTATAATTAAATGTATTAATTAATTTTAAATAAAAGTATTAATTTTTGTTTGGTTATCTTATCAATGTCCTTTAGGGGTATATACATTATTGTAAAGGGATAGTGATTACAGGATATCGATAGTTCAGCTTTTTAATAAATACTTTAATTTGTTATTTTTTTGTGTGTACGAAAACTTTGATAGTCGCAAATAAAAATCTAATCGGCAATTTGCGTAAATTTATTTTCAAAATCAAATTCGCTATTTTTTTTAAAAATGTATATGACATTCGTTCGAGTGAGTGTCTAGCTTACCGAAATCCACGGTCTCCATCAATGGCGCCACATAGGCCACCGGCTTGCTGGGCTGCTGGGGCATGGACACTGGTCCCTCCAGGCTGCCCACCTCCCGCTCCAGGCACTCGAGCACGTCGTCCAGGCCCAGGGCATCGCCCACGGCCACCGTGTGCTTCCACTGCTCGTGCCGGGAGCGGAGCACCTGCTCGGACTGCTCGCATCGCAGCTGGAAGTCGCGGGCGTCGTGCAGGCGGCGCAGGCAGAGTTCGCAGATCACGTCGGTGAGGTTGTCGCCGGGATCCAAGAGTAGGGCGGGTGCCAGAGCCTTCAGTTCCTCGGCCAGGCGGCTGGAGGCGTCATGGAGACTGTGGTAGAGCGGCGGCTGCTCCAGCAGACAGCAACGGCAGACGAGCGGATGGTGCAGCAGCAGCGAAAACATAATACTTTGATGCTAACAACGATCACCAAGGGTCGGGTTTCGGGTTTTGTTTTTTAACTTTTGGTTGCAATATTCAATGTAACTTTAATTTTAAAACAACTGACTTGCACTGACTTTCATAATAGATTTTTTCTTTGGGTTTTTATCTCAGCACGATCTATTTAATAGGACATTATCCCGAATCGGTTTTATCCCAGGTTTAATACTTGATGCGTCTGCTCGGATCGCCGGTCGCTGGACTTCTGAGGGTGATCCATTTCAATCCAGAGCTGTGCTGCCGGCACTGGCGATGGCTATCAGGAATGGTGACCGGGGGCGCACCAGATAGCCCTTGGCTTGGGCGATAAGTCAGCGGCGGCGTCGATTTGGCTGGAGGGGTGGGGGCACACACTACACTACCGAACCCAACAACACAAGAGCAGCATTCGCGGAGAGGGGTCAGCAGGGGTAGGGGGAGTGGGAGGGGCGTAGAGGTGGGCGGGGTAGGGCTACTATCGACGGTCAACGTCAACGTTTGCTAATTTCCAGTTGGTGCCTGCTAATTGATTACCCCGGCGGACAGACCGCCGACTGTCCCTGAACCGCGATAAGGCATTACTGTTTCGTCGTTATTTGGGTGGTCCACATCCACATCCCCCATCGATCTCCTTCCTGCGCCGTGCCCTAATCATTAAGAGTGGAACCGTACCGAAATAGACCTGAGCCGAACCTTATCAACGTCCGTTGAGATCTTCGATCCGCAGCGGGTTTCCCAGTTGTCTCACAGTTGTTGTATTCACCGCTAACTTTGGGCAGTCGAAAATGGCCCAAGGAGTTGGCCAACTGACTTGCAATTAATGGGAATCCCCTAGCAAAGTCACTAAGCATCACATGCTGCAATAATTGCCAACAAATTGCATCAGCCTAAGGGCTTTCAGACTAGGGCAACAAGAAGACGCCGGCGACGTCGGGGGAAGCCTCAACAAAAATCATTTGTTTTGGGCATGATGAACTCATTATCTCGACTGGGCATGATGCCTTTGGGTTCTAAAGTTCACACACAACTATCAAATTGAAAATCATAAATTTAGTAAACATTTCCATTTTCAAGACTAAAAGTAATAGATAATAGAAGGCTTGTCTGAAAATTAATCTTGATTCTATTCAGAAATAATTGAATTATAACATTTGTTCACTTTAACAAGATCCGAGCGACAAAATCTTTTCATTTAGTAAGTTCATCTTTCGAATATTTATACCCTTGCAACGCAGTAAAGAAGACATTTAAAAGACAATCAATTAGCTGGCTTAGATTTAATCGGAAAATTAATGAATTGTTTTTAAACGTCTAGATGGAACTCACGATTTCAGAAAGACGTCTTGAATTTTATAGCAAACCAAAAATTAAAAGGAAATCGACATAAATTTGTGTGTTTTGAACATATATGCAACTCAATCAAAAATATATTTTTAGTTGTATAAAAATATAACGATCTTACAGCTGCAATATGAGCAATCGTTTAATTTTTATGATAATCTTCGAAAATCCGTTTTTAACGTTAGCATTAACATTTTTGTCATTTTATCCGTTTTTTTTGTATGTTATCTGGTTTGGAAGCAAAAGTAAATTTAAAGAAGTTTTAGACAGTTCTATAATTAGGATTAACTAATACATTTTCCCTATAACTTACAGGGTATATAAAGTAGGGCTTACGGCAGTTAGCTTTCCTTGTAGATTTTTATTCAAATAAAACTATTTATAAGGCTTGACCTGTTAATACAAGCCAAAGTCGAGATTAAAGCTGCACTTACTAATCCGGGGTTCCCCCGTAAAAGCGGCGTTTTATTAACCAAGGTTCGGGTAAGGGGATGTTAAAATCTATTGATCTTGCATGCTGGACAGCTTTTCGCTAAGCTGAAGCTGGGTCTTGACCATCATGGAGAGCGTAATGGACATGAGCATGTCCCGCAAGTTGGCATTGAACATCAGTCGAAAGCTCTCGGAATCCAGCAATGGGACTGAGGTGAGGGCGTCGTGAAGAGCCCGCCCCACAACATTGTCCGGTTTTCTCTTCCTGGCCAATACATCGTTGATGTAGTGCAGCACCAAATCGAGACGCTGTTGCAAGTCACGTGTTTCATCCACCACTTGGACCAACTCGGGTAGAATGCGTCCCAACTTCTTGGTTGCCGGCTGCAGCGATTGCTTCTCCATCAGGCGCAGGGCCACCGCTTCGTCATTCCCGCTGGTCATCTCCAGGGGCACCAACGAGAACATCAGGCCTTTGGTGCCGCCGGGCACTCCCATTTCGACGGCGCAGTACAGTCGCGTCGAAAGTCGCTGGCTTTTCAGGGTTGCATCCACGAGCAAATGTAGCGGCTGCCCTTCACCGCACTCCCTGGAATAATATTCGTGCAACTGGACAGCGGATCGGGAAACCGATTTCCCGGTGGAGAACCATCCCACCACACGCTCTTGCGGATAGGCTAGCATATTTAGTTCCAGGATTTCGGTGGCATACGAAAGGTCCAGATCGATGCGACCCATATCCGGATATTCCTTGTGCAGCATCGTGAAGCAATTGGTGATCTCGACGAGCCCATCCTTGCCGTCGTTGCGGCCCAGCAAAGTGCCCATTACCTAATGTTTGTCAGATTTATTAATTTCTGGTCAGGAATACCCTTTTTTTACGCACCTGATTGGCATCCCTGGGGCGGCGCTCGTAAGCGTCGATAATTTGAAAAAGTACCAAAGGATGCATCAGCACCTTCGACCGCAGATTAAAATTGCTCGACATCATTATCCAAAAAAAAAAGGTTAAAAAGGAAGTAAGTTTTCTGAAACGTGAACTTGGTTGCACATGCGCTTTGTCAGGCCAAAGCCAGTGTTGTACAATGTAAAGAACATTGAGGAGGAGAAGGTGCCAAAGTTATCTAATTTTAGCCCGTTTAGAAACAATTGAGAGTGAAACACGAAAGCATCTTAGAAAAAATATTTAATTAAATTGTTTCATAACTGATTCTGTAACCTTGTAAATAATTTTAAGAACTGTCTGATCTTCTTGAGCATCTGTAAAGACTTTAAGCTCGAAATCAAAAATATCTGTCTTAAAATACATTTATTAAATACAAGATCAGAATCCAGTGCGTTCATAGTTCTTTCCTAAGTTCTTATACTCTTGATAAAGATTAAATAATAACAAGTATTTAAAAATTATGTTATCACATTCCATTTCCCGCAATCGGCAATCATAAAAGCTATTTTCGGTATGCTTTTAATGAAAGGAGAACGCCAGCTTAAAATTTTCCTCTAATAATGCTTGGTGTGAACTTGAACCTCAATCATGGCCCCAAATTATTTCCAAACGTAACAAGTTTAACAATAAAATCAGAAAGAAATTTTAACTACGGCAAGTCGATTATTTAATACTCTCTTAGAAAGAAATATACATGAGGGGAAATAGAAACAAATATATAAATCAAATATTTAGTTTTGTTTTCTTAAAAGAAAAGTTGTATAAAATATAATTACCTATTCAAAGTTATTCTTACCTATTTAAATATTCAAACAGGGTAAAATAACTGTAAAACATTGTATAAATACAAATTAATAACTTTTGTATGTTGCTTACACGTTTTTCACATTTTAATAAAAATTGTATTTTTTACTTTCTTGGCTTAGAAAAAAATAATTGAAAAACATCAATGTTATTTATGTAATGATTATGACTGGCGTAAAAACTGAGTATAATTGAAATTTTTAAAAGGGTTGCAAGTAGAGGATAAAGACTTATTACTTCGATTTCCTATTATTGTAGGTATGGTTTAATAAGTCGGCACAGGAAGTAATGACTATTTCCATTTCTGATCCGACGATTGTTACACTTTGAGAAAGCTGTCAGACGAGAATATATCTAATCTTACTTTCCAGCCCCAACACAATTATCAACATGGAAGGTTCCAGCCTAAACCTTGCTATTAACTCAGTCGTAAAGATCTTGTGCGTTGTGCTAGCTCTGAATATATTTTTCATGTTCCTCGCGGTCCAATTTGCGGGCTATCGGATTGATGACTTCGTGCTGAGTTCGTACGAGAGTTACCTGAAGAACAGGCCCCGTCCGTACACTTTAGAATCCTGGGAGAGGGGAATCAACATTCTGGCGGGCTTATACGTGGTCATACTTTATGTGCTGTTCCGTATCAGAGAGTACCTGAGATTGCAGAACTTGGAGGATATCCGCCGTCAGTGGGAGTTGGAGGCCCTCTTCCAAATGGAGACGGAGTTCATAGAACAGCTGCGATCCCAAGGCATCGAACTGCAGGATCCCTCTTTGGGTTTCCCCGATGCGAGCTGCCCATAGCTGTCCTCGTCTTGGCGGGCGCATTCAGGAGGCAATCAAATATGTATCTCGTTAATGCCGCCGCCTTGGACAATGTTAATGCTGGAATCAGCGTACGAGTGTATATATAGATCGCACGGCTGCTTGATTGCCCAGAATTGAATTCAACATTTGCCCGCCGAGCCGTGCGATACACCTACTCTACTCAATTACCCGAACGATCCAATATAAATCCTCCTCGGCCGAGTTGAACGTGCTCGGCTGACATTACTACACACACCACTTATACTATATAGCATACTATAGCGTATACTATATGGATGGATATGGAGAATCGGATCGTTACTCGCCGACAGCCGTACACTTCCAATAGTTCATTGTTTGTGGCTGCGCATGAGTATATTTTTATCGCGCACTGTCCCTCCGACTTTGCCTCTGCTCGTGTGCACTTTTCTCTGTTTGAAATAAATTGTAAATGATTTTTATTAAAATTTCCGCTTAAATTTCTCAGTGGTAATATCTGGGTCCCTGTCCCCCTCACGCTCTTTCTTTTCTAAGTTTGCCTTTTTTTAATTTGGAAATTCCTTGCGGAAAATGATTTAGCCGCTTTTATTCAAATTAGTTTTATTGCGCATATTTTTTATTTCCCTGCTCATGACACATATGACTAAACCTTTTAAAGCTTGCAATTTATCTACACTGAAGACCTGACTCAATAAATAAAATAGTTTAATGCCGGTTAGTCTCTAAATATTTAGGTTTGCTTTCTTCCACGAGGAAATATAATATATGTACCTTATTTATTTCGTCTGATTTTTATAAAAGAAAGTGATTGAGAATGTGATATCGAGAATACTGAATTAAAGAGCCAGGAAAATCGTTTTAATTTTTTAAACATTTGTTATTTAGTTTGAAGTTTACAACCGACAAATTTAATATTATATACGTAAAAGTGAAGTGCTTATTCAAATTTAAATAAACTAAAACAAGATGAACCATTTTCGGTGTTATTTTAAAATTCATCGACCACTTTAAACACATTTGCATCTCGTAATTGCACATTGAGTCCCTAAAATGTTCAGATGCGCGCTTCCAATGAAACCCATTTCCATAGATTTTAGGGCCGCATATAAACCAGCCAAAATTCACCTGAATCGCGGTGGTAATTCCCGTAAAACTTTTGCGCAGGCGCAGAAGAAAGCGGCGATTAATGAGCGAAAATGCGACCTTCAAACTGCAGTAGAAACACGAGCGCACCTGTTGATGAAAACAGGTATACAAAGGAGAGAAAGGAGAGGCACAGATTTTTCCCAAAAAATTGTGCGAACCGCTGCAAACCGGTGCACTCACCTGGGAGAGTAAGACATTCAAAGAGAGCGACAGAGAGAGAGGGATCAAGACCTGCAGGTGAGAGAGAGCTAAGCCATAGTTGAGCGCAGTGAGAGCACGTTAAGCCAAACGTAAGACCTAATTTTCATTCGTTTCCGTTACGTGGTACGAGGCGGTCGTGTGCGCGGAACTTTCGTCTTTCTTTTCAAGGCGCTGTCACTATAGCCAGCGAGAATCTCAATCAACGTTAATTTACAAGTGGACAAAAGAAGTCGAAAATCGGCGCGCATTAACGGTTACTGAATTCGAAATCGCTAGGCCACTACGTAAGCGGCAACGCAAGCCGCGATCCGTAAGATCTGGAGTCGGAGTGGATCTCTCAGTCCGTGTTTCGGTCTCAAAGTCATCGGTTGTCGTGTCGCACCGCCTCCGTTTCTCCTCGTTTCTTTTCGATCCGTGACAACCAGGTGAAATAAAAAAAAAAAATAATATCAAATACGATGGCCAAATTCAGTGCAAAGAGTGTGCAATTTTTGAAAAATCATTAAGAAATTCTGTGAAAGGCGAATCACGCAGAGCCGAGTGCAATTGAAAGGCTCGCGAATAATTTGTTGCCTCAACGAAAGTGCTGGAAAAGTACTCCACACCAAATAAATTAGCTAGGAAAGCATTATCTTGGATACGAGGCGAAATAATATAGCAAAAAATATCAGTGCCACAAGGTGAGTGAGATATCGAAGCTTCCTGATGGTTGCAGTTGAGATGATAAGTGCGCAGACTTTTCCATGGGGGTTGTGGTGTCCAGGGGTTGAAATCTGATTTACTTTATTCATTGGACAAATGCCGGGGCAATTGCGTTCTGGAATGTTTGTTGGAAAGTGCGTAGTTGGGAAAAATACGCTCACAAATTCGTACAACGTACGATATCCTTTTTTAATACTTTAAAGAGTGTCTTGGAAAATACTTGCTGATATAATATATTTGAATATAATATTTGAATAATAATATTTGTCTGCTACATATGCTACATATTTTTGCAACAAACAGAGGGTATTCAATGGCCGGTTGTGTCAGCTATATCGCTCTTTATGTTTTCATTTAATTTACTGTTTGCTGGTTAGTGATTTGTTTTCATTGACAGGGATTATTTCACAAAAGTAATAAGCAGCGTGTTTCTCCGAATTTTTACTGTGTACAAATTATGAGCAACAATAGAAGTAAAGTGGTCTCAGTAATTCATCGCTTTGTTGATGAAAAGCAGTTCAGTAATGTCAGAAGCAAACAAGAAGCAAGCGACATTCTTAACAATTTCATGGGTAATTTAAACACGAGTTCATCTAACAAACACAATCGTAGTTTCGAGTCCGAAATTTAAGTGTACAAGTTTGTCTCTATTTGCATCAGCCATAAAATATACATAATTGTCGTTGTTGGGTTCCAAACTGCAAGTGCAATTGCAACAATAATCCGCCACTGCGGGCCAAGTCCAACTCGCTTGACTCTTTCATTTGCAATCGGTAGTCGAGAAAGAAACTCAAAACTTTTGACAGGCAAATTAATGAAACTCGATTTGAGAGCGGCTACAATTACAGCGTACAATTAAAGAAACACACAGCTGAGCAACAGAAAGTGGGGCACGGATCGAAAAACCACGTTAAAATTTAACTGGAAAATGGCCAAGGAAAATATGTAAATACATTGGCCAATAGACAACCTCGTCGGAAACTGCAGATGCCCCGTCTCACATGTGTTTGCATCTTCGAATTTGGATACAACTCACAAGCAAGAGTGATTACATAAACTGAACTTTGGTGATCCGGTTTGGCTGATGGACCTGGCACTGAGTTGCGGACATAACCGAGGGAGTTTTTCGGCCCAGTTAATGAAAGTTTAAGTGAAATTCGCGGCGAAAAGGAAACCGGTTGATTGGCTCATCCCTATAATCGATTTTCATGTGACTGGCTGACTTATGCTCAAGGTTAAAGACGAACATTTGGTAACGACGTACAGTTGCACGATTAAGATTTTGAGCCGGTAAAGCCACAGGTAGCTGGATTTTCCACCCTCATCTTGACCAGTTGTGAGTGGACTGAACTGCAGGTAGTCTGCAACTGCAACCGAATCTATGCCGCTTTGAACTGGTTTTATTTGGCTGGGATTTTCATTTTTATTGGGGTTTTCCTTTTAAATTGCTTAATGTACGCAGACACTATAGGATACCTGATCGCAATCTAATAAGTTTTATTGCTCCATTAGTACTTCACAGTGTTCAATTAGCAACTCCACAAACAGCTCATAATTTGCTAAAAAAATTCAGACATAGTATAATTGAATGTTTGCTTAAATGATTAACGGCAAACGGCATGTTGTGAAAATGAGAAGCTCCATGTCGATATTCAGCCCAAAGCATTGTTCATTTTGCTAAGTGCTCGAGCAAGCTTATTATAATTAATAGTTAAACGGGTGGAAAAGAGTATAAACAAGGGGGGCATCTTGAAAGGAAAAGTGCCCTTCTATCTCTGTCTCTCTCTCTTTTTTTTTTAGAAGCTCTCAGCTGGTTTCAGTTCAGAAATGCCGTTACAAACGGCCATATGTACATATGTACATATGATATGCGATCAGCCTTGCACTTTCTTTTTCTTTCTTCGCTTCTCTCTTTGTGTCTTCACCGCCATTTCTTCTCAGAGAGTTAGTTTTCGATTTTTTGTCGCTTGTGACTTTTTGCCTTCGCCTGTGTGTCAATTGGTTGATTCATTAACTCGCCGTTGATGGCCGGAAAAACTCTGTCATAATTAACTAATTTCCAAGGAAAGTAAACCTAGTCGGCTAGTAAAAGTGAACGAGAAAGTGTAAGTTATGGAAACGACTTATCTTCGCTCAATTAATTATAACAGAGCGATTGTTAAAGAAATTACAAAAGATTAAGCTTGTTCTACTAGAGAGGAAGACCAATATAATACAAAAAGATAAGCAAAATATACATATGTAGTCATTTTTAACCATTTTTTGTAGCCTAAGTTGAGCACTAAAAACCGCTTTGTAAAAATTATGATTTCCAAACTCAACATGATTTTTCCACAGCTTTCGTATATTTATAAATAATTTAATGTGAATTCTTAATTGTGGCTCTAAGGCTTAAGGTAATTTTTGGCACAGTTTCAATGACAAGCGTGTTCAGAAACACATATAATATTAGACTTCATTTCCTTTTGAGATAGTAATTTTCCAAGTATCTGACACCACCGGAATTGCTTAGCCATTAACATTTTTACCAAATCTTGATGCACTTAATTTCCTTTAAATCTGTTTTTAAGCTGCAATTAATGAATGAAATCAGATTGAGATACTTACGGACTCTGCTCCACTGACCTACAGATCTGTGACTAAACAAAGAGCCGATAAATTCAAAATCAAAACATTTTCTTAAACAGCTTGCCAGGTAAATGGTTAATTAATGCAAAGCAAACAAATCAAAAAGCTGAATTCAAATTGAAAGCGGCCACCTAGTGTCCGTGTGTGTGACTTTGTGTTTGGGCCAAGAGCTGTGAGTGCCAGTGTGACCCAGTTCCAGGTTGAACGCATGCCGCTGGAATCGTTCCCTCACGTCCCGCTCCGTTCCGTTCAGTTCAGGCCATACAGTCGGTTAGTCAGTCAGTCAGTCAGTCAAGAGGCGCAGAAAAAGTAGAAAGTGAATTTTTATCTTGGCTTCTGGCTGGAGGCAGAACCTGAAAGACCCCACCCGCCCTTCCATCGCACTTCCAAACACAAAAACAAAAAAACAGTCAAAAACTGTTAAGGCTTTCAATGTTAAATGCTTAGCCCCCAAGTAAACTAATTAAAATTCATTGCAAACCAATATGTGGCAACCAATTTCAATTGTAAGCGACCTTTTTTCAGCTAGCAAACTGTGGCCAAAAAATCGACGGCTCATATATGTATAAATTTAAAGATAAAACTGAATCGGCTTAAGCCGAGTATGCGTAGTAATTATAAATATTTTTGTCGAATTGTCACTCCCACACGGTAAGGTCATCAATCGCTCTTGTGTTCTACTTCAATGACTTGACCCCAATATTTTTTAAGGCAAAACCCACAGTCAAGTAGATAATAACAAAAAATTCATTTCGAAACCGAATTCCCAATAGCAAAATATATTTAAATATTAATTAATATTAATTTGGTAATTTCTCGGTATTTATGCTTTGTGCCACCGCAACGCACAAAAGTGAAAGTTGTTGACTTGGTCAGAAAGAAAAACTCGCCAAAAGCTTACATTCGTTTTGCTCGCAATCAATTTTTGCGCTGACCGTTTTTCGCCTCCTTCTGTTTCTTCTTCTTCTGCCCGTAAATATGCATTATATAAATTGTTAAAGCCAAGCAACGGCGGCAACAGCAAACATCTAAACGGGGCTGGACAAAACCGGGAGTTATGTAAGCCGGCCAAGCAAACAGTGATTAAGACGGTGATGAAAACGTGTCAGTGAACTGTCGAAAAGTCCCAGTTGGCTAAGAACGGGAAAGAAATGCTTTCTTTGAGTGAACGGGAAGAAATCCATTAATATAAAAATCAGGAGTTATACTTTTACTTGACCCGAAAATGGACAACGTATTGTTAGGAGACTAAAAATTCTTGCAGAAAGCTATCAATTTTAGAAATGGAAAAAAAAAAACATTAACAAAAAGTCAGCCAGAAAAGCAAACAATAAAACGTCAAATGGTTCGACACAGAAAGTAAAAACAACAAAACAAAAGACTGAAGAGACAAACTCATTTTGGTCATCAACTTTCTCGTGCCAAAACGTAAAAGCTTTTGAAACTCATACCAATCCCAGGCTAAACACACGCATTAAGTTGAGTATTAATAAAAAAATATATGCATACAAAAATTGGGTTGGCAAAAGCAAAGAATCCGCCTTGTATCATACAGTCTTGACCTAGAAATTATGCAAAAACCAAAGCCAACAAAAAAACTCTTCTCTTAAAAGACATAAGTTGACAGCTTTCTGGGAGGGAAGTGCCCGGCATAAATCGGTTTTCTTAGCACGCATTTTGAGGTTGTTCAAGGCAGGTGCCTAGGCTCTGACTCAGGTACCGATCGAAAACGGAATTTTGTGATTTTGAATTCGCCTCCAGTTTCATAAGGTGCTACAAAAAATTGCTTTAGTCATAGAGACTACAAGGAAAAAAAGCATGATATTGCATTTTGCAAAAATTTTCGGGCACATTTAATGTCATTCACAAATGCACAACTGACTTCAACAAGCTGGAGAAAAAGGGGAACCCACATGGTTATGAAAACTGAACCGTGGATGAGTCGACACCGATCTTGCGACATGCATTTTTAAAGTTCATTAATGGATTTTGAACCGAATCTGAAGCTATTTGTTATGCCAGCTTACCCATATTGTACAAAATTTATATTTAACTTTTGCATAACGGCTTTGAAGTTTGAGGCCCCATTGATGAGGCATTAATTGGTGATAGTAGAGGGATGAGAAAGATGGAAACTTGCTCGAAATTTGCAGATACTATATGATACCTTTACGCCTCACTTCAAACCAATTAAGACGTCCAAAAACCGTTTTTCCAAGTATGTGAACTCCAATATTGATACACTGACACTTCCCGAGCAAAGAAAAACCTGCGCAGCTGGCCTGGCCGCGCTGTTTATTTAATCATTTTGACATAATGAACCGTTATGTCAACGGAGGGCCGGGCGCCCCAAGTGGGCATTGAAGTCAAAGTTGGACCCGAAGTCAGTGCTATAACCTTGAGACGGCTCCGTGACTCAATTTGGCGAGTGAAGTGCTCGACTTAAGCGCAGGCTGGACTACTCGGCTTGGGCATGTTGTAATACCCAGTGTTTACCGTACGAAAAGCAAAACAAGATTGTTACAATTTGGTAAAAGTGCAGCGTCAGTTGTCGTTGAACCCCAGAGCAGAAAAAAAAAGGAAAGTAAACTTGTATCAACTTTACGTGTCGTGGCAGCTCGACAAATCGAATTTTTCGGTCTGCCGCTTAGCATGCAACTAGTAATGTGAATTGTAGTTTCAGCGCAATGATCAGACAGCTTCTGATGCCATTTCTACTTAATTTTCTGAGTCTAAATGGTTTCCTTATGTATTCTTGCCTTTCATTGGCTGTTGGCAACGATTATTAATGCGTTAGGCAAATGCCAACGCTAATGTTCTATTTATGTTAAGTACGATAATCCTTTGTGCCTACACATTCATAGTGCCCATGCGCCCAAATTGGCTTGTGACAATCTGTGTTTGGCATGATAAATGGCTCAAACTAATTGAGCAGCTTGTGTACCGCAAAAAAATTAAATATTTTTCAAAACATTTGATGTTTAGTGGTGAGAATGGCCTATTGTCAGCCAGTAAAAAATTAACATTTTAAAAGTACAAAAATTAACAAAATGTTAAAAACCAATAAAAATAAACTTAAGAACAAAATTACCGAACATTTAAAAACAAGTTTCATAAAAAAAAATAAAAAAGTTTGGGTGCCGCCCCCGGGTGGACTCGAACCACCAACCTTTCGGTTAACAGCCGAACGCGCTAACCAATTGCGCCACGGAGGCAGTTGGTGCTTTGCTGGCGCATGTTCTAGTAGAGCTCATTGGGATTGCTTTACGGCTGCTGTTGGGCTCACAGGAAATTAAGCTGCTGGGCCATTCCTATTAGAATTTATTTATATTCTTATCTGATTTGTTCCCCGTTTCGTGCGTGCTGTCAAATTTAGTGAAATTTTTCGGTGCTCGCATGGCCTCCGTGGCGCAATTGGTTAGCGCGTTCGGCTGTTAACCGAAAGGTTGGTGGTTCGAGTCCACCCGGGGGCGAATCAAACTTTTTTGTACCCGTTTTCTTAATCCATTTGTGATGTAATTTTTTTGAACAAAATTAAAAGTATTATTGCTACGTACTTGAGTTCTTTAAGCGTGTTAATGAACATTATTAGGGGTTTCCTTTTTATTTCGTTTTTGCTTTTTGTTGTTCAGTGATTTAAAGATGAACAAGGGCATTTGTTGAGATTCGTTTAGGCAAACAGCAGCAAAGTGAGTCAAAGTGACCAAAAACAATGCGTGTCTAAAGTTTAAGTTGAAGGTGTCGATGAACAAAGCCAAGTAGACACGGCAACGAGCACGCGGTACACATGTTTGTCTATTTTTGTAGACACATTTAACTTTACTAATATATATAATTGAGTCTTCCATCTTGCCTTCGCCATTTGTCTTTTCACCTTCACTAGACAAATCGCATTAGGGTTCGGCATGCACGCGAGTTGAGAGTTTGAATATTTATTGCTATCTATATTGTTTCTATGAACTCTGGACTTGGCTAATTTCTAATTCTGTTTTTCTTCACAGATGACTTGCGGCATATCATGTGTCGATAAGACACTAAACAAATCGTTTTACCATTTGGGGATCTGCATAGCCAAGCATCCTGGATATTTCATTATCATTCCGGTGCTGCTGACGTTGCTTTGCATGACGGGGTAAGTGAAGTGAAGTCAGTTTTGGATGGAAATCACTAACTTATATTTAAACTAATTTTAACAGCTACCAGCAGCTAAAGTATCAAATCGATCCCGAATATCTATTCTCTCCTATTGCGGGGGAGGGCAAGACTGAGCGTGCCATCGTGGAGCAATACTTTAAAGTGAATTATACGCATCGCTTCAATGTCGGACGCATTACGAGACCCGGTAAGTGGCGGCAAATATGTACACTCAGTGACTACCGCGGCAAAAATTGGTCAATTAAATGTTTCCAAACGTTTTGCACCTTGCGGAATGTGGCTACTTGCCGGCTTTCCGGTCGTTTTTTTTTTACATCCCATCCCAACCCATCTCATCCTATCCCAACAAACTCTGTTTTGTTTTGTTTTGTCACCGCCCTGAACTGACTTCAGCTCAGATGTGCAATAAATAATTTCAGCACACGGGTGAGATGGAGACATAACATCTTATCTTTTATTGAGGTCTTGAACTCGGCTCCGTTTTACAGGCTATTAACTTCGCTAAATGGTTTATTGGGCAAAAACAAAAACAAACGCCAAACAACAATAATAGTAACAACAGAAACATTAGTAATAATTGCAGCTGCAACAATGTCAAAAGCTAACTTCACCAAAGTATCGCATAATTGCCAAATGACAAAGAGTCATCAAAACTTAAGCAGTTGTAGAGATTTGATTAGCAAACTATTCTATGATTTACTATTTTGTCATTACAGTTTAAATAAATTTTACCCCTACTTACTTAAAAAAAAATTAATTATAAATATGTGCAAACTAATATGTTGTATAAAAACTGAGCCCCTATGCACCCATTACCTGTTTGGAAGTCTAGATGTGTACTGAATGTTAGCACAAACCTTATTTTTATCATCGCGAATTGAGAGGTCAGCTAGTAGATTGCTTACCCAACCCTTAACATTTGCATAATTTAGGCTTCGTTTTTCCAGTCGTTTGGACGGACTTAATTGCCTGTTGCAAAAATTTAGCAATACGGACTTAGCCTAAAGATGGGAGAAACGTGTGCTTTAAGCCAAATGGGCTGCGAATTAAATAAAGTTTATTTGCGAAAGCCTCATAAAACGGCTTGAATGTTTGCTGTTCAAAAAGAGCACTTGCAATTTTGTTCTTGCGAAATCATTAGCCCCATTCTGCGTATATGATCTCAATGTGCACTGAGCAGTTCTCGGCCTGAGATGCATGCAGATCAGTGCAACTGTCTCAGAGTATTAAACTGTGACGAGCTCTCGTATGGGATACAAGCGAGGCATCTATATCTATCGGCTCATCATTGAACTTTGTTTTGACAGTCGGCCTGGCAATAGGCATTCAGCCAAGATACAAAAAAACCCGTCGAGTGTGTGGAGGCCACAAGACACAGCAATCTGTGCAGATACAAATCCACATCCACATTCACGTCCACGTTCGTGCTCTCAGCGGTATTATCTAGACCGCATTTAGTCGGTTACGACCAGTTAGCCAGCAAACTCAGTGCTCCGCTTCGATTGCACTTTGGCCAAATGTGCCACAAGAGGCGTGCAAGCTGCAACTTTCCCCTGTCTTTGGGAAATTTGTTTATGGAGCGCAACAGAGGAAAAATCCAAAAAATAATTAAATTACTCGCTTTGTTATTTCGCCAAAAGAAAAACAAACAAACAAAAACTGATGTACCCCATAAATATTTCAACGTATAACGTAGCCTAATTTATAATAGTTTTTCCGTTGATCCTGGTGCCGGAAGACAATAGATTTCCGGCTGTTTGTTTTCCTCTTTTATCACAAATAAACTTTTGTGTTTGAGATAATTTTTTGTGGACGTTGAAATTGCCGGAGAAAAAATTAATATTATTTGATTCCTCAATTCGTTTGATGAATTGTAAAGACTTCTGGTTTTTTCGGACCGCAATCAATGGAGGTTGTCTTTGTTAACGTTTTTATATCATTCATAACAAAAAGATGGCTATACAACGTGAATGGTTTGCTGATGGTTTCTAATATTTGATCAGATTCAAGTTCATTCACAACTAAAATTAAAGCTCAGGGATCGAAGCTTTAAATACCCTGTTTTAATAATTCGATTGTATTAATATAAAAATAAATATTTCAATCTTTCTATAATTTATAAACTTTATAAAAATGTATAATACATAATATACTATAAAAATAGTACTTTACTATTTTTATTTGAATCGTTAAATTTAAGTAAGGTACATAAATGCAAGTTGATTTATATAAAAAAGGATTGTGGTTGTGTATATCAGTTACAACTTCAATATGAATGTCAGTGTAAACAGTGAGGTGTCTTCTCTTCTTTTTCGTAAATTGTACGAGAAATCTGGCACGTTTGACAATTCTTCGATGAAGTATAGTTGAATATATCTAATATAAAAGTCGCATCAATACTGTGACGCAAGTACACGAGGCTGCAATTGTTATGGCGCATTAAATACAAATAACGATTGGGACAATCGACTAATATAAAGTGGAAGTGCGATAAACGGGCAAACAGAAACACAAATGAAATAATCGATCGAAACCGAATTCAAATGGAATTCAATTAAAATTATTGTCACGCATTGGCGTGTGGGTAAGAGCAGCAGTCACATTAGCCTTCAAGCCTAAGTCCACAAAGTCACTAATTGTTTTCCAAGCGTTTTCTGGGGACTTAACCATGGTCACCACAACTAATCCAACATCCGTCTGCATTTGTAGGTCGCTTCGGGCGAGTCATTGTGATAACAAAGGATGGCGACGAAAATATGATAAGACGAGAGGTGTTCCAGGAGCTGCGACAGCTGGATAATCTCATCCAGAATGCGACCACCACATACGATGGGGACACCTATACCTACAAGGACAACTGTGCCCGCTGGGAGGGCGAGTGTTTTGAGAACGATATTCTAAACTTGGATGCGCTAATGGATGATGTGAGTATGGTGATCATTAACCAGAATTGCATTCTCTTAAAAATTTAGTCAATAACTGTTTAATTTTATCAATAGTCTAAAAATCTTTTAAGCTAAGATTCATGCAATTTTGAAAATGTTTTCTCCACGCTAATATTTTTTCTCGCATTCCTTGATTTCAGATCGAAGCGGGTCAACTGAATCTCACATTTCCTTTCATGTTTAACCCAGTCACGTGGGATGCTCACTTGTTTCCCGTGTTCTTTGGTGGCACCAAGCTGACTGAGGACAATCATGTGATCAGTGTTCCGGCCATACAGTTGGTCTATTTTGTCACCGCCGACACCAAACGACAGGATGCCAAGTGAGTACCCAAAAATTACTCAAAAATTGGACCACGACTAAGACAAATGATGCCATTTTAGGGGTGCCGAATGGGAAGAAACCTTCCTTAGGGTAGTTGGTAACGCAGAGGACTCGGGGCTCTTTAAACACATCTCGGTCTCGTACTTCGCCTCCCGCACCCTGGACCACGAACTCGAGAAGAATACGAAGACTGTGGTACCCTATTTTAGCTCAACTTTTTTGCTCATGGGTCTGTTTAGGTATGTCCTAAAAGCTATTCCCTAAACTCAAAAGAATTTAACGCTTTAACTTTTTATTTAGCATAATCACCTGCATGATGGGTGATGCAGTTCGCTCGAAACCCTTTTTGGGTCTCATGGGCAATGTGTCGGCAATTATGGCAACTCTGGCAGCTTTTGGCCTGGCCATGTACTGTGGAATTGAGTTTATTGGCATTAATCTGGCTGCCCCATTTCTGATGATCGGTATGTATGCGATAAAAAATATTCTAAGGGACTGTCTTTATTATTTGTTAATTTCATTCCACAGGTATCGGCATTGATGACACTTTTGTAATGCTAGCGGGTTGGCGCCGCACCAAGGCCAAAATGCCAGTAGCGGAGCGCATGGGCCTAATGATGTCCGAGGCAGCCGTTTCGATCACAATTACCTCGGTCACCGACTTCATTTCGTTTCTGATCGGCATCATCAGTCCCTTTCGATCAGTGAGGATCTTCTGCACGTACTCGGTGTTCGCCGTTTGCTTCACGTTCCTGTGGCACATCACTTTCTTCGCCGCCTGCATGGCCATCTCGGGCTACAGGGAGCGCAAGAATTTGCATTCCATTTTCGGCTGCCGGGTCCAGCCAATGTCGGTTGCCATTAAAGGTGAGTGAACTGCCGGATTCGATGGGATTGGGATTGCGATTGGTATTGCCTATTGTTGTTCTGCAAGCGCGTGGAGTTTTATTGATGATTAAGCGTCGCTGTCATTTATGCACTCTTAAAAACAAAAAAAAACAGTTTTAAATTTCTTTATGAATTGTCAATATATTTTCTAAATGAATTACGATTGTCTCTTGCTTATCGTATTGGTAACCTATTTTTTGTGTGCACACTCTGCAAGCCGCTAGCTAATCAATATATTATTAAAAACAGAATGTTTCCAACACATTTAAGAAATCTTTTGCAATTTGAAACGAAATAATAATAAAATAATTCATAAAATGATCAAATTAAAGAATGCAAAATATCTCTTTGCGTTTTAAAAGATTGTACACGCTGCAAGGTCAAGTTAAGCCACAACCGGATCGAAGTAGTCACAGTTAAGATGGCTTAACACCAGCAGCAGCTGCAACATGAACTTGATCATGAGACACAAACAACTAGACTAGTTTGTGTCTTGGCACAACAAGTGCTGAGTACAATTGACTCAATTGAGGCCAATGGGAACTTGTCTCACAAAACTTCTTTCTATTGCCGCAGAGAAACGCAACTTCCTGTACAAGGCGATCATGGCGGGTGGCATCGACCACAACGATCCAGACAACCCCATCGACAACAAGGACCACATGCTGATGGCCTTCTTCAAGGACAAACTGGCCGCAGTCATTAACAACAAGTGGTGCAAGGCGATCATCATATTGGCCTTTGCCAGCTATTTGGTTGGCGCCTGCTACGGAATCACGCAAATAAAAGAGGGCCTTGAACGGAGGAAGCTTTCCCGGGAAGACTCCTATTCGGTGGAGTTTTTCGATCGCGAAGACGACTACTACCGCGAATTTCCATACAGAATGCAGGTGGGTTTTTTTATTTCGATGTTTTAAATAACATATATTTTTAAGGGGCATTATCTAAACTTTTCTTACGAAAATAATGTTTTATATAAACATTTTAAATAAAGTTTTGTGGTGTGAAAACCATTTCTATAGCTTGGATACTGGGCTAAACTTTTTTTTAAAACTGTTAATCAACCACTATATAAAATTGGTTATTGCCAAATCAAAAAAACCTTAAACTTAGTCATAGTTATAGTCATTAGTCATAGTTTTACCATTAAGAGTGGAATCAACTTCAAATTTCTCTGTAACAGAAACTAAAATGTTTTTTCTGCTCTAAATTAGGTCATCATTGCTGGGCCACTCAATTACTCGGATCCTGTGGTGCAGGAGCAGGTGGAGAACTTGACGAGCACCCTTGAGCACACCTCGTACGTGACCTCCAGGCGCTACACAGAGTCCTGGCTGCGTTCGTTCTTGTCCTTCCTGGAGCGCAACAATGAGCTGCTCAATGTGACCATTGACGACGAACAGAATTTCATTGAGGCCGTGAAGGAGCACTGGCTGTTCCCCGGTAATCCCTTCTCGCTGGATGTACGCTTCAATGACGATGAAACGCAAATTATTGCCTCGCGGTTTCTCATCCAGGCGGTCAACATCACGGACACTAATCATGAAAAGGAAATGGTGCGGGATCTGCGACAGATTTGCAAGGACTCGCCACTGAATGCCTCGATCTTCCATCCCTATTTCGTGTTCTTTGATCAATTTGAGCTGGTGCGACCGGTATCCCTGCAGGCGATGGTGATCGGCGCCATCATCATGATGATCATTTCATTCGTCTTTATACCAAATATTCTGTGCTCCTTGTGGGTGGCCTTCTCGGTCATCTCCATTGAGCTGGGCGTGGCCGGCTATATGGCCTTGTGGGACGTTAACTTGGACTCGATTTCGATGATTAACCTGATCATGTGTATTGGCTTCTCGGTGGATTTCACCGCTCACATCTGCTACACGTACATGTCCTCGAAGAAGCGCAGTCCAAAGGCTCGAGTCCGTGAGGCCCTGCACTCCCTTGGTCTGCCGATTGTCCAGGGCTCCAGTTCAACAATTCTGGGCATTGTGGCCCTTTTGCTGGCCCAGAGCTACATCTTCCTGGTGTTCTTCAAGATGGTCTTCCTGGTGATATTCTTCGGGGCCATGCATGGTCTCTTCCTGCTGCCCGTGCTGCTCTCGCTCTTTGGACCTGGTTCCTGTCTCACCTGGACCGGAAAGGATGACGGCAGCGATGCCGAAGTGGACGACAGTGTGGATGAGCGTCAGCTGGAGAAGCCCTTCTCGCAATCCTACTACATGCAGTACCCCACCATGGGCATCAACGGGCCCTACTGCTCGAAGGGATTCCTGGGGGCCCCATATAAGGCTTACGGCGTGGACGAAAAGGATCTGGGACTGGGCACCTCTGGCGAGGACTCCTCGGAGAGCAGTTCTAGTCGATCGCAGCGTCGCCAGCAGCAACAGGTGGCCGCCACCGAGGAGGAAGTTGAGGTGCGGGAAACACCGCGCCGACGGTACGAAGAGGGCTGGCGTCGCTCCTCCTACCAGAATATTTATGGTCAGGGTTCGGCGGCACAGTTCCAGGCCCAACCGGATCTCTACGGGCAACAGGTTTCGGCGGCCGAATGGCGCCAGCGCCTGGATACCCACGAGCAGCAGCAGCGACAGCGACAGCGGCGAGGAGGTCCCTACGATAACTACCACCAGGACATGGACATGGAGATGGACATGCAGAGGGCACGACGCAACTCCCACGGGGACATTATCGATCTGCACGGAACGCCAAACTCCTCCATGGACGAACGTCTACGGCGACAGCCAGAGCCCTTCGGTGCGGGCAGTGGCGATGACAGCAGCTATCGCCATCACCTGGCGAAGGCGATGCCACCGCCCACAGGTGGTGTGCCCCCGGCAAAGCGCTATCATCGACGACGTTCTTCGGAGGACTCAACCAATCGCCATCAGCGTTGGCCGGCGAACATCGAGGAGAGGAGGGCGCGACGCACACACTCGCCAGCCCACAACCGCCCAGAGACTGCCACGCCCAGCTACGCCTACCGCTCCTCATCGCACCACAATCTTTACCAGCCAAATGGGAAAGGGTCAAAGCATCCACCCACTTACCAGTACGGCGATTACTACCAGTGAGGAAGGCGAGGGATGAACTCGTGGTTATGTGACAGGAATATTCCTAATATATATAAAGTTGGGTGGGTCGACCTCTAAAAGATTTACTAAAAGGGAGGTAGTATTTGGACATTTAGTAGACTTTTGAATTTCCTTTTTAGCAGGTAACTATAATTTTTGTTTTTCATGTCAAAAGTTTCATAGATTACTTTCACAATGTTTTGGTCGTTAAATTTTTTTTTTCGACATCCAATGCAGTCAACCCATCCAATAAAAAAGAGACATAGAGAGAGAGCAGAGCAAATTGTCTTGTCAAACAATATTTAAGTTAGGCCTTTTTGAAAAGAAATCCCAACTATTTCTGTCTTCACTTTTCTTAAGCTTGCCCGGCATAGAATATACACATTAACGAATACCCAAATTGGACAAACCACGCTCACATTGATCAAAAGAATTATTTTCGGTGTGAGCTCGAAATTGTTAGTTATTAATCCAGGTTCGATCTATTTATCCCAAACATTTCATCGATAAGAGCTCGAGTCAGACAACTTAAGTTACCATCTACACATATACTATACACCTAGTAACATGTATGCTACTTGAGTCAGACTTTGGGTTCCCCCATATCAGTGTTTATTTAAATTAATTTAGATTTAGTGCGAGTGCGTGTAAGAGTCTGTTCAATCATGTTTTGTATAGCAAAATCAACGCTGAGTAAATATTTAATAACTATTAACTGTTAAGAATGGCCACATCAAGGTCCGATCATTTGGGACAAGTTTGTAAAGCGTTTACAATATTTTCTATTGAATAAAAATTTTATATTTTCCTAGAAACAATGTGCACTGTCAGTGGATAATGTTTTGTGTGTATGGGGTTTGGCCTAATGGCTTTTTGAGCTACTTTTAATGGGATGTGTCATGACCAAGGCCATATAAATGACTTCGTTTCTTGAGGAGTTCTATTCAGTATGTTAACCATATTGTTCATTATCTGTGGCTTACCTTTGTGGGTAATAGCATCGAATAACTCAGAGTTTTCCAAGTGCAATCCACTAGAACAGTGCGATGCTTATTTTTCAGTGGCTGCGTTTGTCGAGGTTAAGTTGTGCCCTACTACGCTTCAAAATGTGTGTTCAAATAAATATTTGCGGTTTTTAGGTGAACTGGTTTCAAGCTAACCAAATATGCAATAGTGTTGGTGCCGTCCTAGCAACTGTTAGAAATGAGGAACATCATCAGCTCATGCTTGAGTATGTAAAGAGGAAGGGTAAGATTGATCCTGATTAAATTTCCCTATTTCAATTCTGACCTGCTTTTAGAAGATAATATTGGAAACAAGACTTTCTGGTTGGGCGCCACAAATATGGTAAAGCGAAGATATGTCTGGACCTGGCTGAGCACTGGCATTCCCGTGACCTATGCACAGTGGGGCAGAAAAGAGCCCAGGTCGGATCGACGTGGAAAAGATGCCTGCCTCCTCCTGGGAGCTGACAATTCCTGGCACAGTGCTTCGTGTGATGGGAAACACTATTTCATCTGTGAAAACGTTTGCCTGCTGAATTATACACCGTTAGACAAAAAAATATATCTCTAGTACTCTATCTTGAGAGGCAAAAATAAAAATTACAATTGAAAAACATTTCCAATAATAAGATCTTAACAAAATTCAATCAAAAAATTAAAGCAATTTTACAAAAGCAATTACAAATAACCGAGGGACTTCCTTACTTCTTTGGATAATTTTTGGTATGCTATCAGTAGCTTATTATACAACATTTTTGAATGTTCTTAACTGAGACACAAGTAGAAACGTACAAACTAAAGGAATATATAAATTCGATGTTGTCATTATTAGTACTGCCACGGTTTATTAAAAAAATACCTTATCTCATTCCATACTTAAAAATACTCGTTACTAAACTATTTTAATTTCACTGCTAATAAAAGGACGAAAAGTCCTGTTTTGAATTTTAAAATTTTGTATATGTTTTTTAAAATAAAACTTAAAACCTCTGAGCGGAGGCAGTTCACAAGCAAATAAAAAACCAAACACAAATGAATGAACGGTTTTCTAGTTTTTTAAAGGGATCAAACAAAATATGATTTACTAAAAGGGAAGGTAGTATTTGGTAACTTAGTAGACTTGTAAATTTAAATGGCACACTGAATTTCCTTTGAATGGCTAGTTTTAAATTTTATTTTTTATGTAAGAAGAACACTTAATTTTCAACAGATTTATAACTTATGTGCTGCCAAACCATATACCGCGTTCATTTAAAATCAAATATAAACGAGAGCTTTCTGCTTTGAAAGCTCGCTAAAAGGCGATGCCATCTGCAAACAAAAGTAGATTGATACATAACCCAAGCTGTTATTTTTCTTTCAAATTTAAAAACTCAAATTCTATTTTTTTAATTGCACATATTTTGCTGATTTATTTATTAACCAACACCAAAAATTAACTGGTCATGTAGATTAGTTGACGTCGTCGTCGAACTGACAACGCTTCTCGCAAATGAAATATCGCTGCTCCGAGCAGTGCTCGTTGATCCAGAGTCCAGTGATTCCGTTGATACCCAGGCAGTTGCTGTCTCCACTTCGGTCGCCGGGCAGTCCGTACTGGAAGTTGCGATAGTTGATGGTGCGACCCTTGCTGAACCACACCCAGTTGTTGTAGCTGGCCAGGTCAGTGCCGGAGGTCCAGAGGGGATCAGCCAGCAGCTCCTGCTGGGACCGGGCGAAGGTGAAGAGGAAGTTGCGCAGGCTGCGCTGGTCCTGCTCCGAAGTGATGCTCACCAGGGTGTAGCCATAGGCGGCACAGGTGGCCTGGGCCTGGAACCAGTTCACCTTGGCAAAGCCACCGAAGGCGAACCTTCCATCGCGGAGGCTAAAAGGTGAGAAAACAGGCACTTCGGCCTGCTCAGCCTCCTCGGCGGTTTCGTTACCAGGTGCCGGGGATGTGGGTGAGAGTTGCAATTCCGGCTGGGCCCAAGCCAAGCCGAAGAGGAAACTGATCAGGAACAGGGAACGCATCTTGCTTCGTATGAGTCAATCAAAGAAGAATGCTCCGCTTATATAGCCAAAGCACTAATTGCCACGGGCATTCATCAATGTCAGTAGATAAGCAGCGAAATCTGGGTACAACTAAGTAGTTTCCCTAAATTGGTTCAGCGTGCTTGCTTCTTGCTGCTTCCCATAAATATTGTTGCTCAGTAAATCTCAATATTAAGCGCTGCGCAAATCCGTTTGCCATTTTTATGTTAAGGTTTGCGTTCGCTAATAATTTTATCCCGCCATTTCCCCCAAAAGAAGTTGGTCCAATGCAAGTGCTGGAAATTTATCGAAAAAATGTAAAAAGCATATCTCATTTAACTCAGCTGTCAGCTGGGGGGAAAACGAGGGAGAAAAAAAGACGTTATGACGGGTCAAGGATTGCCAATTGCCAAAGCGAAACCCTCGTCCAACTTTTCCCCATTCAATCTCGATGCACATTTCCTTTTGGTGGTGCTCTGTGTGTTTGCTTGTTGGCCAAGTGTTTACGAGTCCCACTGGGATTGAACAGCAACGAAATGTGCAAGCACAGATCGCAGGATTCCGCTCTATTTCTTTTTTTCGACTTTAACTTGGGGGGGGGGAAATGACATAGAATCAAATATTTCTGCTACATTGTGGTAAGTGTGACGTTCTGTGGGGCGTATGCGTAATATGATTTCTGTGAATGGCTTCCCATTCAGATTCGCATTTGCATTTGCCAATGCTGCCACCCCACAATGCACAAAAGATTCGCATTGCAGACAAGGTCATTTTTTGTCAGGGATAGGGTATAATTATAATCAGATCAGTGAATATCTTATTAGTTTATCTATTTATTTAAGCTTGTGAAAATGTTTTTTTTAGTCATTTTCATATAGGTCCTGTGGCGCAATGGATAACGCGTCTGACTACGGATCAGAAGATTCCAGGTTCGACTCCTGGCAGGATCGAAATGTAAATTTTATTTTATTTTTTCTTATCTTTTTTTGCTTTTGTATAAAAAAGGACTCAACAAAATGTAACATTTAAAAAAATTTGCAATTCTTAGCATTACAAAAAATCGATTTAATAGTTGGTATAGCTATTCGATTTTGATATGCATATTTATTTAAAATATAAAAAAATTCCTAATGAATGGGATTAAATACCATTTGGAAAAAAAATTTATAAAGTAAAATAATAAGATGTCTTAGAGTTTAAAATTAACCAATTGCAATCATCATCTTTTCACTTTTCAACTTGCTACATAAAACAATCTTTGTATAAGTAAAGAAATATTTTAGTTTAGATTTGAAACCAAAATAGTACCCTGATATATTTTTCCCAATGACTTTATAAATAGATTTTGAAGGCCATTGGTTTTAAGCCCATTAGCTTGAATAAATTAATGAGTAGACAGAAGAACAGCTGACAGGTTGATATCAAAGTTGGTTTGAAGTGGAACCGAGTGTCTGTTCCACTTTTTTTGGAGAACAAACAAAAACCGAAGCACATTGGTTTTAATAGACTATCATTTGAAAGGCAGCTGCTCATAAAGGGAAACAAAATTGGAAGATTTTAACCGGTCCTGTGGCGCAATGGATAACGCGTCTGACTACGGATCAGAAGATTCCAGGTTCGACTCCTGGCAGGATCGAAAATCAATTTTTTTGTATTTCCTAATCAATTTACCCTTTTTTTCGCTTATTTTAAAATTTGTAAGAAGAAAAATGTTTTTTATTAGCGATTTCAATTTGGCAACATTAAAAAAAAAAACTAGAAACCATTTCAACAATTCAAAGTTGTAGGTAATTTAATGGTTCGTCATTTTTATGGTTTATCTTTTCTATTTCATCTTTTCGATATAGTTTTGATATGCATATTCACTAACTAGTCTGATTTATGAAAGAAAAATCACACGTTGTTTTTCTAATGATTCTGCTCCGTTTTAACATTTCCATATGTATTTTTGGTATTATGTTTTTCACTTAAACTTGTCTAATCTGGATACCTTAATTAAATGTATTTAGGATTAATTTATCATATGTTAAAAAAAGTAGATTATCTTAGAAAAAAAGTGTCGCCCAACGTGGGGCTCGAACCCACGACCCTGAGATTAAGAGTCTCATGCTCTACCGACTGAGCTAGCCGGGCTGCGTGATCAATTTCGAAAATTACGTATTTGACACAACGCAACTCGCGAACAATAAAAGAATTAAATCAAGAATTTCTATTAATATCATAACATATCATAGAATTTACCAATTCCATGCATATCCTTTTCAGTTTTCAATGTTGCTACAAATTAAGCTGTTCTTGGTCGTGCCATGTTGAACGCACAATTAAATTGTAAAACTTGTTGACAAGATGACATGATCTATTAGCTTGGGTTATTTGTCTTTGGTTGGTTAGAAGGAAAAATGGCAATTAAATTGGTTGGCTAATGCTGCTCCGATGCGGATGCAGAGGGCAAAGGACGCCGACAAGATGAAAAGGACCCCTCCGACAGCAGAATGTCACGCAGGATAAATGCACCAAAGGTTCCTCGGCTAAGGCCAATGAGTGTCCCAACTCCTGATGTTCCTCCTTCAACTTAATTTATGCTTCAAGCTGGAATGAGCTTGGCTTTCAGTTGTTGGACATTTTCGCAGCACGTAAAGCGAAGGTCGTCAAACGCTTAGCTTTGTTTTATGGCTTGGATATTCATCGTTGCTCCCACAACTTGTTCAACGCGGAAGCCCTTTTGAATAGAGGGAAATAAGTACCAAATAGCATTTTAATTTAATTTATATATAATATTATTCCAGCGTTGCAAACATAAGCTTATTTTCGTAGCGCTAGTAATTATTGTGCTTAAAATAAAAAAATACTTGTAACTGACAGTTAATACACTGTTTTCCAATAGCACCTTCTTACCAACAGTGTATTTTGTGGCCACTAATTTGTAGTTATTTCACCAATGGTTTAAAATTGATTCCTTGCCCATGGTAAATGGTTTTGGGTTAGCTGTTGGCCAAATGCCAAACATGTATAAGTTTTTGTGTTGTAAATTTTTGTTGCGAAATGATCGAACATTTGTTTTCACCTGGAATGATTCTTAACTTCATGGCAAATTCTTCAACCTGGTGAATTGCTCAATTAGTACTACACGACCGACAAATCTGTACCGCCAAATGCTTCATCAAGATTAAATCGTTCTATTTTTAATGCACTTGTTTCGCCAAATGTCCCCATCAAAGCTAAAGACATTGTCGGGGCGTCCAGGCGCCCAGTTCCTTAATTAACAAATTTCAGATTTAGCAAGCAAAAGGTTTTGGAGGGGTGAAAAGTTTCCAGCTAATTAGAAAACCAGCAACAAAGGGGGACGCTACGGAACTTGCGAGTTTATTAATATTATGTCGATTTGCATGCAATTTCTGGCTCAAGGCGAAGCTTTATCCGAGTTTTAGTTCAGTTATGATGCTGGATGCTAGGGTAATCTGCCAGAAAGACATTTATTCGATGGCTGCCACTGGCTAATTAAAACTAATGGCCAAGCCAAGCCAGTAACGACCCACTGTCAGCTGCCAGCGATTGCAGGTGGATCTCCCCCAACAGAGTGGCTTTCCTTGTTCGATTCGACTTGGATGAGCTGCAATTCAATCGAAAGAAAAAGCCACTCCCGCGAAAGGTGGC